CGCAAACGAATATTCCTGTTCCTAGTAATATTAGCCGTAAGTAGGCAAACGAAGCAAAAAAAATATAACTTGAAAAATTTAGCTCTAGCGTCTTTACTGCCTTCAACGTATCTTATGCGAGCGCGATGAATCGTAACATTATTATTTCATTATTCTCTGTTCAATTTGCGCGAGCCCCAAACAAAAACAACTCCGGTGCTGAAACAAAAATTCTAATTAAATGAACTAGGATTTCCAATTTCCGGTCGTGATTTTGCGAGCCCTGTAGTAATTTACTTGTAGTCACAAGCCTGTTTTTTTTAAGAGCCATCTAGACAAATTCACTGTTTGCTCTGAAATATAATCAAACGCTTCATCGTAGGAACTTCTCGAGACATAGACCACGGCATCGTCGCTTAAAAGTTTGCAATTCGCGTTCAAAGACGAGGCGATATCATTGATAAAAATATTTAAAAATAAACGCCCAAATCCAGAGCCCTGTGATACTCCTATATTGATGGGTCCTATATGGGGGAATTGAACTCGTTCAATGCGACAAACTGCTCTCTGTTCGTGAGGTAAAACTGAATATGTGAGAGGAAAGTCTCCCTAATTCCATAACGGTGGAGCTTACCCAATAGAACTTTGTGATTTACACAATCAAAATCCTTTTGTTGGTTCAGAAAAAGCGCAACACAACATTCTTTAGAATGATACGTCTCAAGAAGGTCTAGAACTAAATAAAATATAGCCATTGTTGTATCGGTTACCTTGCGGAAGCCAAACTGATCATCAGATATTATTGAAAACTTGTTGTAAAATTTGTGAGTCTAGAATGGAGAATTTTTCAAAAATCTAGTTAATAAATGGTAAGGTTGATATTAGACGATAATTAATTAAAGACATTGTGCAGGTCACCGGATTTAAAAACACGTTTCAGTGCATCGGGATACACAGCACTGGACATGCATAGGTTAAAAATATGAGCCAAATTGGTGCTACAGTGTCAGCTACAAGATACAACATTCCTGGCTGAACTTCATCGATCTGAAGTCGCTTGCCCTTGCACTATCATAAAAATTTCCTAATTTCACGTTCAGAAGTAAAGAAAAGCAAGCAGGATGCCTCACAGAAAGGAATTTTATGCGTCACAGTGTTTAAAGGACCTAAGTTTTAAGTGAGGTCATTGGAAACAGAGATAAAATAATTGTTAAATTCAATTGCTGCCTCGCTACCAAAAATTAGCTTGTTATTTTTCAACAATTCAATTCCTTTGTTAGCACCATTTTTTGCAAGTAAGGTATTGACAATTTTCCATAGACCTCCGCATGATTTTGGCTGAGTAGAATTGTTTGTTAACTATCTTGATTAGCGCATTTAGGAGATTCCGGTAAATGGTGAACGATCGGCGAAGAATTATACCAGAGCGGGAAAGCTTTAGAAGTTTATGCTTCTTTTTAATGGCAGACCTAATTTCAGCTGACACCCTAGGAGGCCTATGTTTTCTTACCGACACAAACTTTATGAGAAAGGGTTCGTCATAAATTTTTGAAAGTCCGACATAAAAGAGTTCATTGTTAAGTCAGGCTCGGTAATATTTGATAGAAATGCCGATGAGAAAAGTCTCATATTCTCCTTGAACTTTAGAATATTGACATCATTCATTAAGCGAATTTTTTCAGAGGCGAAACCCCCCCTTTTTAAAGAAAAGGATTTGTACATAACTTGACCTCAATATTTACTCATACAATCCTCAAACCCGCATAATTACATCTGCTATTCTCTACTAGGGTGAAAAATTAGAAATTTAACAGAGCCAGGTGATTAAAATTTCCCCACATTTTTACATTTATTTTCCCATCATCTTCTCATTATTTTCCCCATCATTTTCTCATCATTTTCCCATCGTTTCTCCATCATTTTCACATCATTTTCTCATCATTTTCTCATCCTTTTTCCATAATTTTCCCATCATTTTCTTATATTTTTCCATTGTATTCTCATCATTTTTTCATAATTTTTCAGCATTTCCTCATAACTTTTCCACCATATTCCATTCATTTTCCATTCACTTTCCATTCATTTTCCATTTATTTTCCCGTCATTTACCCGTCATTTCCCATAATTTTCTCATCCTTTTTCCATCGTTTTTCCATCCTTTTCTCATCAGTTTCCCATCATTTTCCATTCATTTTCCCATCATTATCTCATCATTTTTCCATCATTCACCCATCGCTTGCCCATCATTAACCTATCATTTACCTATCATTACCTATGGTTTGCCCATTATATAATGAATGGATTAATTCATTAATTCATTATATAATGCGTAAATGAACCCATCCAATCAATGAACCATTTCCATCATTCATGCATTCATTCATTATTCTTTCATTATTCATGCATCATTCAATCATCATTCAGTCTTTATTCATTCATTCATCATTCAATCATCAATTATTCCATTCATTAAAAATATTGATTTTTCAGACTGTTAGCAAAAGTCATTATCAAGTCATTATTATTTAGTCATTTATAAGTAAACATTATTTCGCAGCAGACTAGTTCAAGAGTCTAAGAAGTTCAAGAGGATTTCCTACAACGCATGGGAGCTAGAAAGAACATCGCTTTGTTGTATGTGTGAATATTTTTAGCGAACCTTTTGTTAGCTTAGTTTTAATAGTCTATTTTTTATGCACTCCTATGATTTACTTGTTAATCCGACCTTTAGAGTGTGTAGATAGCCGACAACGTATCAATAGTTTCATGTTAGCTCAGTTCGTAGCCCGCATCAGGACTGCCCACAATATTTCGGTGCGTAGATTTATGCCTTCCTACAAGTTGTTTATTGTTCTGATTATTATTTTTTATATTTGAATATTATAAGCATACAATGAAGTTTATAGGGCTAATATATTCGTTTGTTCTTATAGATGCAAGTTTTTAATCCAATAAACGGGATATTTGTTGTTGAAACCGTGGTTATCCTTGAAAACGCGGACTTACGTCAAACCAAAACCCAACAAAAACGAACAGCGTTTTTACAGTATGTCTGAGAGATATGGATTTTGTCCTACTATCTACTCAGATATACTTTATTGCGTTGATTCCACTCCTCGTCAACCTTTTTACGTCATCAATCATCATTGAATGTGGGGGTATTGAAATGGACGACGGTTTGCCTACTAGTGTGCCTTCGTTAAAAGTTCTTGTAGCGATATTCCTGCCTCAAGATTTGCCAGTCTTCAATAACGAAAAATTAGCCAGCCATTGACCACGACAGAGAATAAGACCGTTTCAAAAAAATCTTCCTATGGAGAATATATAAAAGCCAAACCACTAAGCATATCATTCATTTACCATCATCAGGACTACTACCGTCACTACTGCTACCAATGCTGGTATGTACTAACAATGGCGTATATAACGTACATGTTTTATGTATGTCATTATAGAAGTCTCACCGATTTGATCGGTTATTCATGCTGTTATCCGCAATTTGAATTCTGTATGAAAGATATCGTGTACTTTTATAAATGTATGCCTATTTAAATACAAGATTAAATTAATTTACTAAACAGTATTTCCAGGTTACCATTGAAACTTCTCCGGCATAATCTTTGCAATTCACAAGGTGGTTATATTGATTAAAATAGTTTTAACTGCTGTTGAGTTAGTTGTTGGTAAAGTAGTGCATATATCTGCACTATAAATTGTATAGTAATATTGCCTTCAAAATGTGCCTAGTTTGCTCATATGTGCTGTACATGTGGGCTTTTGATGGGAGACGTGCGGCAAGACCTAGAAAGAATCGCATTGTGTAAAACATGTAGTGTTTACATGGTGTGCCCATGTGATTGACGTGTGGGCCCTTGATGGAAGACATCAAGGCCCAGGATGAATTCTAATGTGTAAAACGCGTAGTGTGTACATGGTTTACCCATGTGATTGATGTGTGGGCCCTTGCTAGAAACTTACTGGACCCAGCATGCAGCTGCCATATGAAGGCAACCATAGAGGGAGATGGTCCTGACGTATGGTGGAAATATAGGCCCATGAATTGAACCATGTTGGGCCAATGCAATACTAATCATGTAGCCACAATATGACAGGCACATGGTTTTACCATGTATGAGCTATATCGGCCCTATGTATAAATCTTGTTATTTCTACGTGGCTTAGCTGGGCAGAATTTTCACAAAAACCATGAGGCTGCCATATGGCATTTCCACCTGTAGCCAATATTGTGTATTTGGGCCAACATGGGCCCCTTTGAAAATTGCTACTAGGGCACTGCGCAGCTGTGGAAGAATTGAAAGACTTACTCAATGTGCAGACGGAACTTGAGAAGAAAACTGGATCATGATGGACTGAGTTGGGCCTTGGAATTAGTTCTTCGTACGGTATAACTTGATGCTTACGAGATTTATATTGAATACGATAATTGATTATTTGACTCTCGTACAACGAACTGGCGTTAAGTGAACCAAAGTAATCTGTGCAATCTTTCCAGTTGTAGCGTCCACGAAGGAATCATTTACAATACAACATTCGTTCAATCTATTTTTAGTTGATCCGTCAGTTATTGTACGTTTCAGAATTGTTCTATAGAACAAAATCTGGATTGACGTCAAAAAATTGGTTGCTTTCCTCCTAAACAAGAAAACCTGTGATATAATTTTATATGAAGCCAGCAAGACACCAGAAACAAGTGTTTAACGTGCTGCTCAATTCAACTAAAATAGCGTTTGAAGTGGCAATTTCTAGGCGACTGGTGTAGCTGGAATCCATGAGATCAATATACCTGAACTTTCCATATATTATATTAAGATATCTTACGATTTGCTAATGCTTCTTTCTTTGCCTCATATTAGATTCTCCCGCAATAAGATCTACCAAGTTATTACGGTGGTCAACTGCAAGAGATATAAATGAGCTAAGTGCCAAGCGCCTCGAGATAACACATCATTATAGTAATTAAATTAACTACATGTCAAAGGCAAGAAAATAAATGATACACATTTAACGCCAAACATCTATTTTTGATTCCAAATGAACATCAAGAGAAATTTATGACTGTTGAAATATTCTCGAAAAAGGTCAATGTAGTGTAAAGGTTTATCAAGGATGAGGATCTCTCTCAAAAGCTTACAAAATCTTTCAACCATACTCGATTAATTTGAATAAAAATTATGTTTTTCCTGAAAATAACCTCACCATCAAATCCATCAAATTTTGGCACTGTTTTTCCTATTGCAAGCCCCTGAAACTACCAATGAAGAACATATATCAAAGATTTTTAATTTACGAATTTAGCGTCATTTATCTATAACACGATTCGGCGTCTTCTTCCCAACGCAGCTGTAGCAAATCATGCCGATGGACACGGCTTGATGGTCTTGGTGGTGTCGACGCACATGTAGGGAAGTGCTAAGGAACACGGCCCAGACGAGAGTTTCCCCTGCACGATGCCCACGCAGAAGGAGGTGTCATCGGGAATAACAACATTCCACATGTCAGGGGCCACGGGAGTCTTGCTAGGCATGTAGACCTAAGCACCGTCGATGTATTGCACGTTCACCCAGAAACTCTGTACCGCTGAAAAATCCGTGAAATATTACGCGGAATTGTAATTATAATTTTAAATTTATCAAATGTTGGAACAAAATTAGATCAGAAAATATTCTCTTACGCCTGAACGTCTATTTATTTTAGTTTTTTGTTGGTGTGCATGCATGGGATCAAATGAATTTCTCGATAAAATATGTCAGCCTCATTTTTTACAAGCTGAGATTTACCAAAAAATTTTCGCGCAAAATGCTATTGTTTTCTCACCAGGTTTCGTGGCGGCGGCTGTCTTCACGGCATTCAGGTTCTCCTCCGTGTCTACTTGGGCCAGCGCGAGTCCAAGCAACGCACATTTGGTCGCTGCCGCACAGAAGGTCGCTGACTCTGCTACAATGAGGATGTGGGGGATTGCTTCTGTTCCAATGCAAGATACTGCTCCATCCGAAGGGAGAACAACTTCAGATTCATCTAGGAATTATGGAAAAGTAGTTAATATGTTGAACAGTTAATGTGTAGGAACACTGAATACTAGAAAACTGTAAGACTGATCAGTATTCATAATATAAGAACATAGATTCTACTTAATTATCTCAAATAATTTAAAAAACTACATTATTCCTGCAAAATAGTAGAATTATAAATGGCACTTTCAGCGCCCCACTTTTGTAAAACCCTTCATAACAAAGTTAGAAACAACTTAGCGTTCAATTTAGCGTCCTAAAAAAATTTTAATTTATATACTGCGGACCCATGGAAAGTCCTCACGAACTCGTAATGCTGTTATTTGATTTGATCAGGAATGTAATATTACTTGCCAATCCTTTTTTATAGTAAACTGCTATAGCAAGCTGCAAAAATATAATTCATCATGAAAATTTATTTATTGCCGGTCGTTTAGTCACCTTGAAGAGTTACCGTCGTTCCAACACACGTCGAGTAGCACATTCCATCGTTCGTTATGTTTTGGCCATCCAAGAACCCGCCAAGAGGAGTGATGCATCCACTCTCACCTGACGAGGAATAATTACTGTGAATTATTGATATATTATTGAAATTATAAATAAATTATAGGGGCGATGGACACCTAACGAGAAAAGACGAAGCCCTCGTGGAGGTGGCAAGGAACAATGCAGCTAATTGCGCAAAGTTAGTTGGAATGGGAAGGAGAAGAAAGCGGCAGAACGAAACGGTGATCTCATAAAGTGATGCCGACGATATTTTGATAGATGACTTTTCAGAAGGTTCATCCGTTGCGAAAATAGAGGCCAACATTTCCTGTGCAACCGCTTACGCTTGTAGAACAAGATTTCAAACATCAAACTTAACCCAGCTTTAACTCAGACATATTTATTACATACATGTCGTGGTCTAGTTTATCTGATATCACCTCGCACGTAACAGGGAGACATGACAACACAATGATCCAGACATTTATTACATTAAAAATTCGAATTTTGTTTGTAGATAACACGATATTAAAGCACATTTCCATAAGACAACGAAAGGGAAACTGCAGCCAATGGCTCTTATGCGTCCAGTCAGGTGCCATACTTTCAAAACTCGCTAAGTGAACGTAAGTACTTAAGCTCTATTTTCTTGTCTATGATTGGTGGATTTTGCTTGAAAGGCCGTCAATGATTGGCTGATGAACTTACGATCTCATAACTTTTTTTGAAAGTATGGCCCCAGGGCCGTACGAGTTGTGATCCTCCGTTGGTTCTAACAGCTATTTTGATTCTTGGGTTCTAAAATTTATACTATATATTTGATTTTATGCAAAGATTTGGATAATAATTGGAAAATGCATCAAAGTGTGGCTATCAAACGCCTCATTCAGTAGTGTTATTATCAATAATTCAGATTTAAATGCAGTGTTCATTGTGAATAAATTATTAAAATCCATTCGGTCGTCTAATAATATTCATAACTTCAATATGGACTTTCTAACAAAAACTTCGCCCAAGCCCTGATTTAATATATCAAATTAGTAGAGAATAAATGTATTAAAAGTTACAATAAATTCTCCTAAGCACGTTTGGAATAAAAATATGAAAAATATTCAGGTTTTAGAGAAAAAGGCACTTTGTGAAATAATTTCGTCAGAATACTATTATAAAAATTAAACAAGGTCGTGCAGAATTCGTCAGTAATATCAGGACTTCAATAATAATGATAATATTCCGTCAGTAATGTCAGGACTTCAATAATAATGACTTCAATAATAATAATAATGTCAGGACTTCAATCAATAGCCTAGCTTAAGATTTGCATGAGGATGATCTGTTTAAACTAAATTTCTCGGCCCTTCAAGACTCTTTATCGAGCATTCCTTTGTTGTTCTCGTTAGAACTTTCAGAATTTTTCTCGACTGGTATTATACAAATTCAATTCAGGTATTCAGTTGTTCCGAAGATGCATATTCCTTCAAATGTTTAGATTGGAACATATGTAAGAAAGTTGTTCAAAACGGTTTCGTATTCAAACTGTATCAAAATATATAGAAGCGTTTAAACAAGTTATAATTATATTTTAACATACACATATGAGATTATTTGAACATTACCCAAAATTGTTACTCACCATATAAGCTGATGTAGACCGTCTGACCATCGCACGCTTGATTCGCTGGATCATAGAAACCATTCATGGCGATCATGCAGGACCCTCCATTGAACTTGAACATCAGTTTGGCTGTTTATACAGAGCATGGTTAACGCTACGTAAAATAAATGGCACGAAGCTATAACAGAATGAACAATTTAACATGTATTTAGCAATTGTTTACAATGCATTTTAAGGGGAGCGTCTTGGGTAAAAGTCGAAATTTTTGGCTTTTATGGGTACGTACACGGTTTTGGCTTTTATGGGTACGTACCGGTTTTTATGCTTATCTTAAAGCTTACTTTTTGCCGCATCGAACGGCACTAGAACCATCTCTGTACGTTGATTTATGCGTTCACGGCAGATCCCGAAAGGGGGGAGGGTGGTGGGGTCCCTTCACAAAATCCTATGGAGATAATTACGGCTAAGCTCTATAAATGTGCTGTCGCTGGACCTACAGCTCAGTTACCCGACATACAGTATATCATGCGGAGAGGTGTTGATAAAGTTGTCCTCTGCACAGCTGACTGACTTTGAAGTGAGCTAACGCTTACTTTCGGTATCTAAGCTACGTTACATGCCTTTACATAGCGCGCACAATATTACCATAAAAATGTTCTTCTTTTAAATAAAACAAGTTTCAACTTCATAACGTTCTTAGTTTTTTATTTATTAACAAATTAAAAGGGTTAGGTACTTAATTCTGAAACACCCTGTAGATATGGTTTTTACGCATCGAATGATATGTGTCTTGATGTTGTAGCTTAAAAATCCTAGGAGGAGATAGATTTCTACGGTACCCCCTTTTTTGACCGTTTCCTAAGAATTTCATTTTTTTTTCATTTTTTTTCGAAAAATTCTTACGAACAAAAATGTCTTAGAATTCTGTTTTACATATGTGTACCAAGTTTTAGAGTGGTCCGTCTGTAAATAGCCGATATATATTTTACCCCAGACGCTCCCATTAAGCAAATATTGTTATTAACCAAAGATTTAACCAGGATTTATATTTTCTTATTGTTCGATTTAATCCTGGATTGAAATTAAACAAAAAGAAGCTTACTTATTTTTTATATTACTCGCTTCAAATTCTGATTAGCATCGCTTCCACCAAAGCCAATAATATGGTTCTCTCTCATTTAAAATAATAAAATCAAGTATGTCAGACATACAATTTCACATTGACAGTGTAACTGAAGAATTACCAGCGTCCACGGTGGCCTGGGCACAAGCGAAGAGAGTCGTGGCAGCGTCAGCGACCTGCCATGTGATGTTCTGAGCACTTGAGCTTGTGACCTGAAAGAACTCTTGTTGCCCTACGACTACCAACCAAAGACTTCCCGTCAGCGAAGCTGCTTGCTTGATGCACGTCGAGAACAGGCTGCTTCTCAGAGAAGTTTCCAAGCCATACTGATGACAAATGAAAAATTCGATTACAAATTGATAGAAAAAAAGCGATTAGTGTGCGATTAAAATATTCAGTGCTAATTGTTATGAATTCGAGTTATTTGTAACGCACGTAACATTGCGAGGCATCTTTTTGAGTTAAAGGTTTGATGACGTTGCCTTCAAGTTCATACTATATGGGCTGAGCAGATGAAAACTAAAGTAAATGTTTAGAAGTAAATGTATCTCCTAATAAATAAATTACGTCTGCAGTAGAAACATTTGCCTGAATAATTAAGAAGATGGACGGAGCAAGGTTCACATAGGTATTCCTACATTCGTTATTATTTCGCAAAATTATTGCGGATAACGCTCTAATCAACCCTTTATATAATCAAATAACACGATCTCATGTTTCAGAATCACAATTTGCACATGTTTACTCACCGTTTCAATGACTTCGTTGGCGCGAGGGGAGGTCAGTTCCTGAGGGACAGGCACAAGAAAAATTTGTTATCAGAGGAATTTTTCACAACTATGCAATCATTGGATAAACATATGGTGATCGGCGAGGTAATTTACTAAAATAGTATAACCTATCGATAATCATATAGTGAGGGAAGCTGGTTTGATTCAGAATTTATCTGCACGATAATTTCTCAGAATGAAAATAAATTCGATACTAAAAATTTGGATGCGAAATTCGTAAACTGAATATTCACAAAATTCGTGAAGTGAATATTCACGAAATTCGTGAACTGAATTCTCACAAAATTCGTGAAGTGAATAATCACGAAATTCGTGAACTGAATATTCACAAAACTCGTTATTTTGAAAAAATTGAAATTGAATTAATGAATAATTCGAAAAAAATTATTCATTAACATTTAGGCAGTTACATAATTATTGAAAAAAATCAACAAATTTTTGCTAAGCTCTTATCCGTAGGTAAAAACCTAATAAAAAAAAATTTTAGAGGTGAATCAAAGTTATAGAGAAAATGCTAATGACACATCGATAGTTAAATAAAATTAACCCATAACATGTCCCAAAAATAATCACAGAAAACAGCACATATATTTATGAATATAACAGTCTGTATTTCGTACCGTTGCAGTGGCAGACGAGGCTGCCACCAGCAGCGTAAGAAGTAAGGCAGTCGTTGCCATCAGACGTTGTTGCTCAAGCGAGAGTCGCACTCGAACTGGCGGCGCATTCGCCCCCGCGGCCACAAGTTAGAATATTTTCACAGGTGTTTACCGCTGTACTTACACGTGTACTAAACTTCAAATTACTTTCATACGTGTTTACCGCTGTACTTACACGTGTACTAAACTTCAAATTACTTTCATACGTGTTTACCGCTGTACTTACACGTGTACTAAACTTCAAATTGGCTCAAATGTGCTGCGGCTGATGCAACCCACTTAATGAAACGTTTAGGCGGAAAAACTGTGCGTTTTTTAACTTGGCTTTGGTTCAGTTATAAAACCAAGAACTGGAAGCCACAGGTTACAAAATGCAATTTTACTCCATAAAATTGCGCAATCTTTAATCAAAAGTTCAAACAGTAGACTGAAAAATCTGCATTATTTTTATTTGTATTTTTTTTATATTCATTACTTTTATTTGTATTTTTTATATCCATTACTTTCATTTGTATTTTTTTATATTATGACATTCAAATCATTATTCTTCTAATACAGTCAATACGGATTTTTTTAGTGAAAAGTGAAACTAAAAACGATTAGTGAAAAACTAATATAAAAAACTTGTATAATGGAACTGTAGTACCTCATTTATGCGTTAATTGTGCACAGAAAAGCGTTTCATTTTTCAATTGAGCCTTATGCCACAATGCATTTGAATTTGTGGTTAGATCATTAATTAGCGGCCAAATTATCGTCTATGATTGGCGGGTTTAGCTTGAAATGCCGTTATTGATTGGCTGACAGAGTTAAGAACATTTAGTTTTGATAGTATGGCCCCAGATCATGTGCATTGGCCTCACTTTAGACATCATAGTTCGTAAATATCAGTTACCCGTATCTTAGGGCCAAAGTAGACACATTTGAGAATGCTTTAAATTTCGGTTACATGCTTTTCAGCTACACGCTTTAATAGCATGTACATTTACATGTTACATATTCTCTTACAACCCAATACATTTGATACAAACTTGGATGCATTTGTTAAACTTACATCCTCTCTCAACGGTCAATCGATTGCATTAGTCACTCAATCTCAACTGGAACTTATTGAATCAATAAGAAACACCTAAATGCTTTGGCATAAGATATTTTTAATTTTATTGTACGTCTTGATATATAATAAAATTCTAGCAGTCTGCATCTCATCATACCGAATCTTGTTTCTACTTATCAAACCAATGTAATGTGATTGAGCGTTAAACTCGTTCCAGTTGCCTATAGCGTAGAATTCTCATGAAATTTAGGCTTCGAACATTTAATTTTTTATCTTTTAGTAAGAATCAAATCAATAAAAATGAATTTTGGTGCAAATTAAAACAAAGAATTTTGTTAAATTTGTTTATTTTCTCATGATTCCATCTCTAAAAATCTATTTTAGGGTTCAGGTTATAAGATCGGCACGGAAGTGACGCGATACGCACGCACCCAAACAAAATCTCTCATGCACAAAAATAAGCTACATTATTTATTTATGATAAAACAAATATTCTATTGAGATAGCTATCAGTGTGTTCCAAGCCTCGTTTCGCTGCGTTCTCATGGCCCAAATGATATTTTCGAAGTCATGGAATTACACATTTTTTATCATATACAGTAGGTACCACATAAGCTGGTTCATTTGGGCACCATGGTATATTATCAACTATTCTGTCAAATTTCATTTAAATTGATATTAAATTAATGTTTCCTTTCTGTTATTGTTTACTTTAAATATATTATTTACTTGTACTCCCATAGTTAGATTTTTACGCTGATCGGTAAGCAAGCTTATATAGCGCGCTCGCTGGGCAACACGGTGCTACGCTTGGTATCGCGCAACGCAGCGTTCACGAGACACTTTTTCAAAGTGAGCGTTAAAATTCAATCATTATATCCCGTTCCCATAAGCAATGGTGATTTGCTACGTGTGTTCTGCTACGAAAAGTAATATTTTGCTTTAATAATTGGTAAAATCAATTTTAGGTAGAACGATCCACCATGTTGTGAAATATTTGCCATTTTACATTGAATGGTTACCTATAAATTTTGTTAATTGGTTAATGGTTTAATATTGTTCATTTTTATTTTGACTAGACTATGAATCATGGGGTGCATGAGTCAGTCTGACCTCATTGGAGCAGAAAGCGGACGAAATTCCCAATGGGAACTTTCACTTCAAACTGAAGAAGTCCATTGACCCCGCTACCTGTGGGTGGAGAGGGGAGGGGGAAGGTGGGGCGATACCTTTTTAAGCCAAAAGAGAAAGTTCGTTTCAACACACGAAAAAAATACATATTTATAGCCAGCCCCCAATTTTACAAGTGTACTAACACTTGCCATCAAACTGCAAACCATGAGTCAGCCCGCCGACATGTGACGGCTTGGTTCCAGCGAATTTGATATTTTTTTCGTGGACTAATTTCTTACAGGCAAAAATTATTACTTTCTTATTTGAATTTCCCATTGCCTTCCTAATTATAATTTTATTAATTTCTTACATGAATTATTACTTTCTTACTTGAAGTTTCCCTTGCCTCCGGAAACAGAAAATACTAATTTACTGAAGGCGAATGCCTCAGATCGAAATCGATGATTTCGATAATATATCATTTGGGCCGTTAGAGCGCAGCGAAACGAGGCTTGAAACACACTGATCAGCAATCCCAATATAATATTTGTCTTGTAATAAATAAATAATGTAGCTTATTTTAGCGAAAAATTTTGTTTGGGTGCGTGTGTATTGCGTCATTCCCGCGCCGATCTTATAACCTCGACCGGAAATTAGATTTTTAGAGATGGATTCATGAGACAATAAACAATTTTTGCCAAGTTTTCTTTTAATTTGCACCAAAATTAATTTTTGCTGATTTGATTCTTACTAAGAGATTGAAAATTGAAAATGAGATGAAAAATTAAAATTTCGAAGCGTAAGTTACTTGAGAATTCTACGTTATAGGCGGCTGGAACGAGTGTAACTCTCAGTCACATTACATTAGTTTGTTAAGTAGAAACAAGATTCGGGATAATGAGATGCAGACTGCAGGGCCGGGTTTAGCTACGGGAATTCTGTTATATATCCAGATGTATGATAAAATTAAAAATATCAGATGTAAAAGCGCTTGTGTGTTTCTTATTCATTCAACTAGTTCGAGTTGATTTTGAGTGACATTTCAATCCATTGATCGTTGAGAGATGGTTTAATTTTTACAGGTTATCTAAGTTTGTATCAACTGTATAGGGTCGTAAAGGAATTTTACACGTAAATGTGCATGCTACTAAAGCGTGTAGCTGCAATGTAAAGCCTTCCCGGACTCGCTCCTCAGGTGTGCCTACTTTGGCCCTAATTCGAATAACTGATAAAGGCTGTAAAGTCTATACTGAGGCAAACGCCTCTGATAATATAGGGATCTTACTATCAAAACTAAATGTTCTTAATTCTGTCAGCCATGCAAACAATGACGGCTTTTCAAGCTAAACCCGCCAGTCATAGACGATAATTCAGCCACTACTTGTACTTAAGACGCTACATGTATTTAGAAATACGCGTAGAAAAAACGAAAAAAGAAAAACGTCTAAAAAATACACGGGAAAGTTTAGACGTTACGTGCTCTGGATCACCGATGTATTACGTCAAAGTTTACTCTGCAAAGGCTCCTGTATTCTGTTTGGATAGAATAGACACGATGACGACGTCTGTACACAAGCATCAGAGGAGGATTGAGATCGTGATTTCGGATTGTGAAATTAACCACACAACACAAGAATAATACGGCGATGCTTTTGCCATGAAAATTTTCCCGCCCATTGTTTAGAATCTTCTGCTCTTCTTGCTGACAACATATAGTTGATTAGTTTATTATTAATATTTTGTTCAATTCTTGAATGATCTAACAGCTTATTAAAATGCATTGTAGCATAAGGCTGAATAACTGCAGCGCTCGGCTCTGCACAATTAAAACAAAAATACGGTACTTAAGCTCCATTATACACGTTTTTATCATTAGCATTTGAGCTGTCTAAAATAATTAGAAATGTTTCCAGTTGAAGAATAATGACGTAATAGTCAAAAAATGAAAAGAAGTACAAGTAGAAGTAATGCAGATTTCTTAGACTACTTTTTAAACTTTCGATTAAGGAATGCGCGATTTTCTGGAGTAGTTGTAGGTGTATTGGACGGTGTATACTAAGGCCGCTACGTGTAGTTGTAGGTGTATTAGACGGTGTATACTAAGGCCACTACGTGTAGTTGTAGGTGTATTAGACGGTGTATACT